TTTTTTTTTTTTTTTTTTTTTTTTTATAAATTTTATTTTGTTACGTGCGTAGTTCAAATACTACGATAACAATGTTGTAGGTTTAGACGAATATAAAGGAGTTTTAGAAAAGAAAAAAAAAGCTAGTGATTAATCCAAACTAACGAAAAGGGTTGAGGTGGAGACATGCAAGTATGATATCATATACAACGAGTTTATATAAGTATGAACCATGAAATATTTAATCTCTTACCTATTAATTAAAAAGATGAATATTTCATAAGACAATCATATGCGACTTGATCTTACTTGTGAGTGAATTTCATTTTATGGTTTTTTTTTCTCATTTTTCATATAAAGTAGGTAGATAAATAGTTCTCTTGAATACTTATTTTTGGACTGGAACTTGAATAATATGCCGTGGACATACAAAAGAATCATGTTAAATCAATAGTTAAAAAAAAAAAAAAAAGTTATAGTATATGGGTAAGGTTAGAGTGCTTATCTTAGTAACACTATTTAGTGCGTTCACTTTGCAAATGTTACAAATAATTTGATCTAAATCGTTCATATGAACAAGTGAGTGGAGGTCTTCTAAACCATTAATTCATATAAAACTAGACCATAAAATACGTAATCTATCCTTATAAATCTATTAATTGAAAAAAATTAATATTTTACGGGATCATCGTTACAACTTGATTTTAATTATTAGAAGTTATGAATTTTTGCATATGAGGACTTATCTTATGATTTGCATGAGTGAGAATGATTTTTATAGTTGATTTAATATGTCAACCATGTTGGGTACCTGGCCAAATAGGAAACTAGGTACATAATCTTACGATATGAATTTCACTCTTTTTCGTATATAGAAAGTAGATGGATAGTTTCTTTAAATACTGATTTTGATATTTGAACAATGAGAGCTCACATCCTCATTGACCCGAGATGGATTTAGTTTATGGTTAGATCATAAAAAAGATGTTCACTAGAGAATGAGAATCAAGGGTAGTTAAACCTGAAAAATTCATACATGCATTAAATATATAGGAGAAAAATATTTAATTAATTTAAAAAGTTAAAGTTAATATTTAAAAAAATGAATTTATTATATTCCATACCTTAAAAGATATTAAAATTTTGAATGATATTCAAATTAGTTATAATATATATTCTCTCTAAGCCCTATAAATAAGACGTTAAACTATTTGGGCATCGCCACAGTTTCTCGGTTGAAACTCTCGCTCTTACAAAAGGCCCCCACAAGTCGTTGAAACTCGCACTCTTACAAAAGAGTATTAGAATCACTTGAATTCAAAATCAAGTTCAAGTTAGTCCCAACACTTGTGATGCCAAGTTCATTTCCTTCCAATTATATTTATATTTATAGACATAATTTGTCTATTTAACTTAATTAAATGTGCATAAGTTCTTAAGATTTTGATAAGTTTTAACTCTGGTGCTCAAGAACAAGAAGGTAGCCATGATGAAAAAGACTGTAACTAAGAATTGCACTCATACACAGCTGTGGCTGCAACTAGACCTAATCGACAAGGAACGTAGAAATTATTTAATATAAGCTATTCTTTTTTCATATTACATTATTTAATATAAGCTAAATTCCTTCTTGGGATTCAAAATATGTGGGCGTCCTAAGATAAGAAGAAGTTTTTTATTATGCATTTACATGGCAACATACTTCACAAGTCCACATAACTTCTCTACTTTGTTTAACAGTAAAATGGAGGCTGAAAGTTGAAGAACCCTTTATTATTGATTGATACTGATCTGTCCAATAAACTTACTTGCATGATCTGCAGAAAGCATTTACAATCTCATAGTTACGGATGGAAACTCGACTCCATTCGAGAACCGACCCTCGTCCTCCACCAACAAACCATTTCCCTGTTCATCAGGGCAGAGATATTATATCAGAATTCATAGCCACCAAAGAAACAACTAACACTGAAAGGGTTGAAGTGAGTGTGATGAGAAAATACCTTCAGATTTATGACTATTCCACTTTTTGAACACTGCTTTAATTCATCAACATCATAAAGAACTTTGGCTCCGCATCCTGGACCGTCCACTGATCCAACAGCTTCTTCATCAACCAGAACAGCCCTTATGCTCTTACTTTCTGGAACCTGAACATAATGAATTCAGTTGGCGGCACCACTTTCCAGCGTTCAAACTAACCAACCACTGCCATTTTCAAAATATTTTAACAAAGAAAAAAGCACCAATATGATTTTGTCAAATTATAATTTACAGCTATCTTTTTTTTTTTTTTTTTTTTTTTTTTTTTTTTTTTTTTTTTTTTTTTTTTTT